CCGGTGTGAGCAGGGAGTGAAAGAGGGGTTCATGGGAGGGGCATGGGGGGACCCCTGTAGAGCACATGAGCTCCTCAGGGGTGAATCTGAAACGGGACAGGATTGCCCTGGGGTACTTTGCATGTTATGGGTGTCTCCTGAGAGCTTCTGTGAAGAGATCTCCCTTGGCTCATCTCAGCTCACAGCATCCCTAGCAGACTGCAACTGTCATCTCATTCTTGTCTGGTGGGCCCCTGGAGAGGTCTTGCTCTCTGGACAGGCCCAGAGGGTACCAATTGCAAGAGGTTAACACCTCAAGTGCATCAGCTCAGCTCAAGTCACTCCCAGCACCCACCCTTCTCGATGCCATCTGAGGACATGAAGATCTGGGGAAAGGCAAGGAGATAGAACGTATCTCAAGCCCAGACAGGCCACCCAGCAGTTGATGCACACAGTGGGGAGCTTTGTCCACGGCTCTCCCTGTGCACCATTTCTGGGGCTCCCCAAAGCTGACAGAAATGCTCCTTTGATGAGCTGCAGCACAAAACCCTCCCTAGCACCACCCTCTCCAACCCCAGCGCGCACGGAACCGCGAGCAGGCGGGTCCCTTCTCCCTGCCCCACCTTTAAACCCACCTTTTTCTCCTCCGCAGGTGCAGAAAGTGGTGTCCAGCTCAGCTGTCTACTTCTCCATCCTGAGGAACCCCGTGCAGCTGATGGAGTCCTCCTTCATGTACTACAGGGGCGCGTCGGCTTTCTCCCGCGCTCGCAGCCTGGCGGAGTTCCTCAGCCAGCCCCACCGCTACTACAACCCCGCAGACAGAGACAGCCACTACGCCAGGAACCTCATGACCTTCGACTTTGGCTTCAACCCCAACGGAGAGGTCTCTGCCCAGCGGGTGCAGCTGATGCTGGAGGCCATCGAGGCGTCCTTCGACTTGCTCCTCATCTCCGAGTACTTCGACGAGTCCATGGTGCTGCTGAAGGAGATGTTGTGCTGGGATCTGGACAGCGTCGTCTCCTTCCCGCTCAACACCCGGGACAGCAGCACCAAGGCTCCCCTCCCTGACACCCTCGTGGAGAAGATAAAGGATTGGAACAGGCTGGATTGGGAAATCTACACCCACTTCAACAGGACCTTCTGGGAGAGGATCGAGCGGGACATCGGCGGGGAGCGCCTGCGGCGGGAGGTGAAGGCGCTTCGGGCGCGACGGGCCCAGCTGGCCAGGACCTGCCTGCAAGGGACGGGCAGCGTGGCCCCCAAGGACATCCAGGACTCCTCCCTGCGCCCTCTGCAGCACGGCAACGCCAAGATCCTGGGCTACAACCTCAAGCAGGGCCTGGATGAGGAGACGGAGTGGACGAGGAGACAGAGAGGCAGTGCCGGCGGCTGGTGACCCCCGAGCTGCAGTACAGCAGCGCGCTCTACAAGAGGCAGTTCGGCCAGAAGCACCCCAGGGCAACCCAGCAGGGCAAGGTGGGGCAGCACAGGGTGGGGAGCACCCAGAACTGAGCCCCCACCTCCTCTCTGGGCATCCTTCTCCTCTGCTGAGGAAGGCGAGGCGCTTGCTCCGTGGGTTTGGGGGGCTGCTGCTGCCCACGGGAGCCCCTGGGCACCCCTGGCTGGTCAGGACTCTGCACGAGCTCTCGGGGGGCTACCTGAGACCTCCCGAGTGGGATAGGCCGTGGTGGGGGTCCCAGGGGCTTGGCACAGCTCCACTCTTCCAGGGCACAGCACCAGCTCCAGCACAGAGGGGCAGAAAGAAGCAGGAGGGCAGCCCAAGTCCTCAGCCCCACGCTGGAGACCACAACGGGGCCAAGCTGGCTGTGAGAGTGGCAGAGCTCAGTTTACAGCTTGGGAACAAGTCTGTTTGTCCTTCTAGAGCTCTCCTCTACTACACCTTACTCCTAACTGTGCTGGAAAAGCAGCTTCTCCATTAAAAATAACAATATTCACTGCCACTCTGATTGAGGTCCTTTTTACTACACCAGTTTGCCCAGTAGGCAAACTCCTCAGCAGCCCAAGAAAAAGATCTCAAATACCTGGAAGTGCCCTGGGGGAAAAAGAAAACTTTTTTTAAGAGTTAAAAAATCAGCATTTTCCCCCCTGACTCTGTGGTTACATGCTGCCCTCAGATGCTGCACTGCATTTATAGGATCAGCATCCTGCCCCAGACCTGATGCTGGCATCATACGATGAGATTTCAAGTTAAATATCCACACACCCAGGAGCTGTCTCAGAAGCATCTCTGCAGCCAAACACCCCAACCCACCGTCTGAAGTGCCTTAGGAATGCTCTCTGCTCTGACTGGGGAAAAATACCACAAGAATGGGTCGTGGTGGGCTAGTCAACCTTCCCTTTTATGTCCTATGCTCGTCCTCAAATCAAAAGCAGTGCCAGCAAATCAGTTTGGGTAAACAGAGGTCTCATCTCAGAGATTGAGCACAATTCCCAAACCAAAAGAGACCCAGAAAAAAAATTGCTGGGGGGGATCCAAGCATCCCAGGCTCTCCCTCAGCCAGCCACCCAGAGCTGTTGGTCTTTTCCCTCGTTTCTCCTGCTGGGATGTGGTGTGGGCTCCTTGTTTGCAGAGATTCAGCTCCTTTCTGGGTTCCTGGGTGGTCTCCAGTTCACCCCAAGGGGCAGTCCCCCAAGGAAGGTGGGCAGCCCATGGGCAGCACGGCCAGGGTCACCCCACAGAGACCCCCAGGACACAGCAGAGTGCAGGGAGGAGCAGGGCTGGTGCTCCAGGGATGCTGCACACACATGGGACTGTCCCAGCCCTTCTTCTCCATGGAGAGACCTCCAGGATGCAGCACACGTGGGGTGCCCTGGCCCCTGCCCTGCCTGGGGCCTGTCAGGTGTTTACCTAGCAGGCACTTTCACCCAGATTACCCCCCTGGCCACCCCCCAACCCCTTCCAGATCAAGCATCAGGCAGGGCAGTGTTGGTTTGGACATCTTTGTGGCATCTCCAGTTCTCAAGATGGGCTGATCTCCTCCCACAGAGCTCAAAGCAATGATGTCACTCACCCAAATGCCCATGACAACGTTTAGTTTTATTGTTATCTCCACAAACTGCAGCTTCACCTTCAGGAATATTTCACAGAGACACAAAGAGGAGCCTGGTGAGCCCGTGCTCACCCACACCGGCTGCGTGCTGGCTGCCTGGCTCTCATTTTGTAACCACAGACACGTTGTTCACCCTTTTTTGATGCCTTACAGCACATGAAACCCAGGCTGAGCACCACATCCACAGAGGAGCAGGGTCTTTCACAGCCAGGAACATTTCCTTTGCCCTGGAACGTTTCTAATTCTGCTCCAAGAAATGCCAGGCTCAGCCTGTGCAAGTCAAGGACCTCAGTTTAACTCAAACAACACCAATTTTCCACCAATGTCCACTTAGTACCTTGCAAGGTCAAAGCCTGCTTCCTCCCCATCCCAAATTTCCAAGGCAATTACTGGTTTATGCTTTGTTTTTATGGCTGCAAGACACCCAGATTATTTCAAGCATCATATGATGCAATAACCTGGGAGTTGCTCAAGCCTACTCACCATCAGGTCCTGACCTTCTGTAAGCTTCTGGAAACAGAAGACCATCATGCAGAAGTGAAGGGTTTATCCCCCCACTGAGCCAGGGGTGCAGGCTCAAAACACTTTGGCCTCTCACAAAGGAGCTCAGGGACTTGGACACCCTGCAAGGCCAGCTTGGCCAATTCCTTTGCAATGCTTTAAAAACCAATCTCACCCTTCAGTAGGGACCAAACGGGTGGGACAGATGCTGAGTAGGATGAGCAGAAAAGTTCTCCATGCTGGGAAACCTGGGAGAGGGGCTGCAGGGACCTCCTGGGCCTCCATCCTCAGCTCAGGCGTGTGGCTCAGCATTGCTCTTCTGCCCTTTGCTCTGCTGCCCTCCTTTCTTACCCTCCACACGTGCTTCCACCCTTGCCTTGGGTATCTTGTATTTGCTTTTCTGGCTGTAAAGGAGGTTTTTCTGGAAGAGCCGTGGGATGTTGCCTTGGTGCAGCAAGAGGGCAGTGAACATCCCTGAAACGAGAGCACAGAGCCCTTCCATGAGCTCTGGAGAGCATCTCCACCCACCCCCACAGCTAAGCAGTGAACTTCAGGTCCTTGCCCCAGTCTTCATCTCGGTCAAAAAGTAGCTCAGCAGCACTGTAGTCCCCACAGACTATATTACTTCAAGGATAATTTTACCATTTTGGCCTTAATGTTACTAGGAAGACTTATTTTAACCCAGAAGGGCCATAAACCACATCAGTGGTCTTCTGTCCCTGTTCTCTGCATTCAGTGCAGCACATGTCCAGCTCCCCGTGGTCATCTTGAAGCTGTGGACAACCTTACCAGCAGAGCTCAGCCTTCTGTTGCCCTAAAACATCTTTGCTTCACCTCTCCTGAACTTTAACCTCGGGGACAGTCTTGTCTATGTCCTGTGGAGGAGCTGGATTTCAAAAATGGACAGCAAAGATGACTACAGGGAAGCAGGACAGAAGAGGACACTTGCCACCAGCAAGACCCAAGTTCAGCCCCCTTGCCATGACCAATTTGTGTCATCCCTCTCTGTCTCCCTGGCAGAGCTCACCTGCAAAGGGCCCCAGCCAGTAAACCCAGACGTAGTCCCAAAAGCTGCTCCCCGAGCAGTGGAAGGTGGTGGCTGTGGCCAGGGCAGGGTTGAAGAAGGCTCCTGTGAAGGGTCCAGCTGCATGGGAAGAGAAGCATGGCCATCAGTCTCGCTTGCCTCCTCTTGAAGGACTGGCAAAAAGCTGTGCCAGGAGACCCACAGCCCCTTCTGCCTGCCAGGAGCATCTCTGCTGCTGCCCAGCTTCACCAGCTGCTTCTTTTGGACTGGGTGACAAGAAGCAAGTGGGGAAATGTCACCCTTGTCACCCTGAGCTCTGTGGGAAGCAAAGTCCCCTCAGTGGGGGACCGAGGGGCTGCGTTAGGGGTCATTCAAGCAAAGTGGTCCCTGTCTGGGGGCAAGCTGTGGCTTCTTGTGTGCTGAAATTTCTAGATATCCCTAACTGCCCATCTTCCTTCCAAAATGAATATTCCCCAAAAGAAGTAGAAAACAAAGGGGGTCATCAGTACCTCTCTAGTCCTGGAAGATGCAGAAGGGATCCTTCCTCCCCCACAAATCAGGTGTTTCTCTAAGTGACTCAGAGAAAGAAAGGCAAGTGCTGCTCACCTGCATAGGTCAGGAAGGTGACAGTGGCTGCCAGCACGGGGACTCGGAACATCAGGTGTCTCTGTCGCAGCCTGAGGAGGATGAGGTGGAGGAAGAAAGAGCAGGTGCCTTCCACGAAGGCCGCGTGGTGCAGAGAGGTGTGGATGGAGGAGCTGCACTCCGACGAGATGAGGTTCTGGATGAAGTGGAAATGGGTCAGCTCCCAGGACCAGTAGAGCTTCGTGAGGGCCCAGCCCAGCCCCACGCCTGCGCCCTGGGCCAGCAGCTTGGCAGCAGTGGTGGGGAGGTTGGACTCCAGGAGCAGGAACTCCTGGAGGGAGACGGTGGGGTTGGCAGATGCTCCATCGAAAGAGGCGCCGTGAACGGCGAAGAGGAAGAAGAAGAGGGTCAGGACCACATCTGGGCCAAAGCCACCACCCCACGGGCCGATCTCCAGCAGCATCCTCAGCTCCAGGCAGCTCGTGCACAACTGTAACGAGCCAGCCAGTTCTCTGGCTAGGCAGCCGTATGCTCCAGGAGACAGAAGCCACTTGGAAAACCTCCTGAGCACCTGGCACACCCCAACAACCAGGAAAAAAAAAGCAATGGAGACGTTCAGGCCACTCATCACCAGGGCTGGGTGGGGAGAAGAGGCTGAAGCAAACCCTGGGAAGGAGCAGGGAGAGCTTCTGCACCTCCTTATAAAGCCACGTCAGGCAACGTGGCACAGCCTGGCGGGCCTGGGAAATGCTGCACGTGCTGCCCTCTCCTTTGTGGGGCAACGCCTGCTGGCACAGGGACTCACCCACAGCTGGACTGGCCAGCCAGTTGTCTCAGCAAGGTCCTGGGGTTACCTTCACCCCGTGGTCGAGGAGCCTCTAACCCCCACTGTTCACACAGGAGAGCCTGGTGCAGCTTCCTGGAGCTGCTCGGGTCTTCCAGACACAGCAAAGTCTCTCATTTCATCCCTACTTGGCATCATAAAATGCAACCTACTGCCCCCAATCCCAAAGCCTGGGATGCAGCAGGGCTCCTAGAAAGCCACAAGCCTGTGGAAGGCATTCGTGCTGCTCCAGAGACACCCAAAGCTGCAGCACAGCCCATCTCTGGCCAGTCTCAAAGCCCAGCCTGCTTAGTGCTTCCTCTTCTTTGAGGAAGACCTCACCTCATTTGGTGGGGGTGGCACTAATTGCACGTGCCATTGGTGACTTGTGAAGCTCACACCTCCTAAAAACACCTCAACACACAGGATTTGCTTTGGGAACCTTGGGAAGCCTGAGAAAGGAGAGAGACAAACAACCCATCATCCAAACCCTTGCGTCCTCTCCCCCAGAACTGCCCTGGTTTTGGTTGGCCTGCCTCAAAACATACCACAATTTTACCATTTTTAATCCATTTGTGTCTCCAGAAGGCAGGAAGAGCATGAATCTTTCACTTCCAATGAGCAAATGACCTTGCCTGAATAAAAGATGAAACATACTGTGAGGGACTCATAAAATGAATATTTCTTGTGAAAATTCACCTCTGGCAGTGTCAAAGTGCTGGTCAAAGCTGCTCATTGCTGCAGAAAGGGCCACAAAAAATCATTTAACATCACAAGCCAATTAGTTTCTGTCTCCCCTGCTTCAGCATTTCTCAAAATTAGAGAAATCAGTGGAGTTTTATATCTTTAGAAACAAAACCTGACAAGGAGCCAGTGGCATCAGGCCAAACAAAGCCCCTGGAAGAGAGATAGGTGTGCAGCTTGCCCAGAGGAACACCAGAGGAGGTATTTGAGGTATTTTCTAACAGCATTTGCACCCTGGTTTCAACAGAGGGTTTGGACAGAGCAGCTGAGAGCCTTCTGACAGCTGCCCCTTGGAGAGCACCTCCAAGATTGGAGAGCTTAAAATCCAGGTGTCTTAACTGGGATTTTTTTAGCCAGAGGGCAGGACCATCCTGGCTCTCCCACCACACTATTTTCACACACAAAGAGGTTAATAGCTAGAGCCAAGTACAGCAGTAAGGTTATTTAAGGAGAGTTTACTGGGCAGGGGAGTGGCTACAAGCTTTCCAAGAGCAGGCACCCGTTATCAGCTGCTGTGACAGGCAGCAGTAACTCAGCAGCAGGTCACCTCCCACAGCCAGCCAGCTGAAAAGGGCTCTAGGACACCCATGAGTTCATTTGGCTTCATGAAAAGACCTCAAACTGTAGAACAAGCATTTGCTGGTAGGAAAAAATAATGCAGATAGGTCATCCCTGGCTCCAGAAATCTTGAATTTAAGGGAGGTGTCTGTCCCCAGGAAGGTCACCCCTGCACCCAGCATGGGAAAAGGGTGACCTGTTCCCCCTCCAGAACATCCCATGGAGATGCTCAGTCATATCAGCACCTCCTCTGTTGATCCACAGTTCTACTGAGCTGGATTCATTATTCAAAAGCCCTTCAGGAACCCCCAAAAAATGCAGTCAGGGTACTGAGACACTGACTGCTACTCCAGTCCCACTCTCCTCTCTGCTGACCCAATACATCTTTTTCAAAGCAGAAGTCTGGTGGCCTTTCAGTGTCCTGAAGAGAATGAGCAATTAATTAACTTCCTAGTGAGCAAATCCCATTACAAAATTGTTTTAAAAAATAAATCATCAGACCCTACACACTGTTTCAACAATCACAGCAACAGGTAAATGGGATTTGAAATGAAGTTACTGGCACTGCCCTCTTCCCTTGTACCAGGCTGCAGGTAGAGCAATTAGTCAGAGATTCACTGCTCTCAAAAACCAAAAAAATCTCTCTGCAGGCTGGAGTTCAAAGTAGGGAAAAAAATCTCTTGGAAAAACCTGCTTCCCTCACACATCTGGAGAGCAACATGAAAAGTTTAGCTCAGCTCAGCACAGTTCCACGTCCCTCTCACGTGACTGAGGATGGCTATTTTTATTAAAAACAATCTTCAGAGCAAAATGTGAGTTATAAAAATAGGGAAAAAAATGCAAATATACAAATCCCTGGGAGCAGGCATTTGCAGACAACTGCTGTGCTCACAAAGGAGCCAAGCAAACTGCTCCAAACCCCACTTTTCTTCAGGCACTGCTGGGAAAACCTTAATTAGAAATTAAGATCCTCAGTTTTTAGCCATTCTCTTTCTCACCAGTGTGAGCAACACAACAGAATAATTGTGCTCAGCTCTGTGGTAAACTTACTGCAACCAAACAGCAGCCCTGAAAGTGCAAAATCATCACCCCCAGCTTTACTGTCTTGAAGAACAGTGTTTTAAATACCAAATCTTGAATAAACAGGTCCAAAAAGATGGGGCTGGTCTTGGTTTAGTCCAGGCCAGGTATATGCAAGGGCAGAGGAAGCTCACAGAAGACTTGACAGGATTTGTTAAGCAAGGACTATGAACTTTCAACTCGTGGAAAACACATTCAGCCAAAATCCTGCTCTCCAGGCAGCACAAGTGCCAATATCCATGTCACTGCTGAGCTCCACCAAGCACCTTCACCCTCCTGTCAACATTTCCCCCCCTAAATTAAAAGCAAAATGACTTAAACACAGAGTTAGAGAACATCAGTTTAAATGCATAAAGGGTCAAGTGTGTATAAAGACAAAGATACTACAACAAATTAATTAACCTGAAGAGACAGTGCCTTGTGCAAAACAACATTCTCACGTCTGGCTGAAAAGGCTTCTGCAGACGAGTGGTTTCTTCACCTTGTCAAGGTTTCTCCCCTTGAACCAAGGGTCTCTCCCCTTGTCAGTGGCATGAGCAATGCTAGTACAACGTGGGAGAAAAGGGAAGGGATTAATTCCCAACACCACATGGGAAACACACAACACGACGAGTCCTTGACGCTCCCAACCGAGCCAGAAACTTCATCTGGGTGTCAACTGAAGGGGTCTCAGCCCTCAAGTAGATTCATTTAGATGTCATTTTCTTTAGCTAGGCTGCCACGCCAACATGCTACAGCATCTTTTGTAGTTTTGATGAGCAAGTCTCTGCAGCCTACCAGGTCCTAGGCGAGCTGTCCACACCCAGCATCCTTGCCCTGCCCAGTGCAGGACCAAGAGCCACATCTTCTGAGCAGGTACCAGAAATACCATAATTAAAGTGTTTCTAAGAACCTTAATTGAAAACAAACATTCTGTTCATCTCGTTAAGACATCTAAACATGGACTCATTTCAGCTACTCTTATCTTAGAAGGTATAATGGGGGGGGGGGGGGAAACCCCAAATGTTTTTAAAAGTTTATTTCTAGCCCTGAAAGAACAGTTCTTAAACAAAGTCAACAAATACAGTAGTTAATATTGCAGTAACAATTAAATAACATAATGGGATTAAATTACACAAAAGGCAACATTAAAATCTTAAGACAGTTAAAAAAAAAAATAAAAAGAAAGCTTGCACCTACTTCCATTTCCATGGACAGCGTGAGGAGCAGAGGGAAAAACGGACCAGAGACATTTATTGATTCAACTCCAGCGACAGAAAACCTTCATCTCCTTGCTCCCTCCCCACCATCCTCTCTGACAAAGGGACCCAGCCTCTCCCATCTCCTCTAGCCACACCTTTGCACCTCCTGGCACCAGAGAGAGACCTACAATTAAGTCTCCTTAACACTTAAGGCAGGTCAAAGTGCACGTTTCTAGTGCCACGGTTGCTTCTAATGAGAAGTTTGGTTTATTCTATGGTAACAAGGACACCCCAGGAGTCACCCATTCCCTGCACACTTCCATCTCAGCTCCAAGCTGCCCAGCTCCACGTCCCCAGCTGATGACACTGTTGTACATATATACTCCATACATATCACACGTGGGTTTGATCCTGACTCAGGGTCTGATGCTGGCGCCTGGGACATCGTGAGACGTTGGGGAATCCCAGTGGTTCCAAAAGCAATCCTTCCCCCAGCATCATCTGCTCCAACTCTGGCTGCTCCCTCTTTGCCCTGGGGATAGAGTTGAACAGATCTTGAGGACACTGACCTTGAAGCAGGTCTTGAGGACACTGATCTGCTCCCCCTCAGGGAAAAAAGACACCACTGGCATTTTTTAAACCTTGCAGACGCATCTAGATGGCATTAGAAAAATTATGCCAGAGCCACTGAGACACAAAGGGAGAGCACAGCAACCTTCTTGTGGCTCCCCTCTTCTGCCAGCTCCACCTCTGACCCTCATTGCTGGCCTTGGGGCCTGAGAAACATTGCTACATTAACAACAGAGCTGCTGTGTGGGGAGGGAGAAATGTGGACGCCCCTCAGCCTCAGAGCTAAACACCTTTCCAGGTCACACAGCAAGTGCCAAGACACACTGGGGCAGCTTCTGGATTGGGCCAGTTTTTGTGTACTAAGGTGGCTTAAATCTGGGAATCTTCTCCTAAGTGGAATAAATTGGGCAAACACGTTATAAACCATTCTCATTCATCAATAAAAGTGAAGTAATAATTTAAAATTACCTACAATTTCTTGGGTTTTTATTTTTTAAAAAAAACTAAATTTACTGCAAGTTATTTACTGTCTAGATTGTGCCATCAAAAACAAAAAAGGACAAAAACAAAAGAAAGAAAGAATAGCTCCCAGTTTAACTCTGGCATAAGGAGTTTTGTGAAGTCCATTGCCAGCAATGGACAAAGAGGAAATAATTGGTATGACATCTTTTT